CCTGGAAGCTACTACATAGCTACCATATGCGTAGTTGGAGATATCTAATCAGTTCATACCAATAATTTCACACCGCACCGAACACACAATCTATGCATGCCTTGTTTTAGTCATTATGTAATTAAGCTATGTATTTGGAATTGATTGTGGGATATAAGCGAAATAATACTACCTTCAATCACCTATCTGAGAGGCATCAGCGTTAAACAGTATGTTTTCTTGGGGTTAATATCAAAATAACGGTAGCTTTTTTTTTCCTTTACCTCTAATGGTTGTCGTTTGTTCAAATAGTTGGTTGATATTTGTGCATCTTCAAAGCCTAATCTTTCCGATTACTGCTTATATTCTTACTACCTCTACCACTACGGGATTTGAATCGACAACTGAATCTCTGTGCTAATGTATTATGGCAACTTGAAATGATGTACGTACGTACAAAGTTCTACGTTGTCACTGATTGACTGGATTTAAATACATACTATAATCAACAATAATCACTTTTATTGCCATTTTTTACAAGAAACAATACTAAATTACATAATGATCGTGTTTCTAAGTCAAAGTTCTTTCTGCAATGGATGTTAAAATTGAATTTTAAGCCTCAGATATTTTCATTACATAATAAATAATTTTCATCAGCACGTAAGCGTATGTTAGTAAAAGGAAGATACTTTGGTTAATCAGAAATAAGATGTTCATTGGACATATATATGAAAATAAACTATTTCTTTTCTCTTTCAACCAAAAATACGTGTATATCATTATCATATCGTACAAATCAGATAAATTGCAGTTTATTGATCACTGGATAGTGATCAATGTCATGTATTTCAGGTCCTTCTTAATGCAGATCGAATCCTATCGACAAAGTTGTAATATGGTCAATAATCTAGGTGACTCGACATTGCGTGCACTAATATCACATTACCGAAAATCAGTGCCTTCAAACTTACAGGTACCCCTTGCTGCCGAGTGCCAAATAGCACGAAACCTGGGTCCAGGGTTTCCTGTTGACTACTGCTAATCACTATCTAAAATCAGATAATGTCACGTGTTTCTTCCTCGTGTATTCTTTAAGGTTTCTTCTTTCTTTTACTTATTACATTCAAATGTTGTTACGGGTAGCTTGTCTCTGGAAACCATTATCTTGATTATATGTTGTATTTTGAAAGAATTAGTTAATGATTTTTTTGTTCAATAAACTATTGCGGTTAGGAACTTTCATTTAGGAGTATTATGGTTAGGATCTCGGATTCAGGAGTTTTAGAGTTAGCAGTAAGAGTTTAGTTGGGTTACAGTACTATGTTCTCCAGCCTTATTTATCTATACTTGGCTTAATGACGTCCATTTACCGTGTTAAAACTCTGCAGCATTAACAGTTTAATGTTTTAGAGTTGTTTTAGAAGAGTTAGATACTTATTGAATATTTTCTAGCTATTTAATGTCATGGTCACTCTTAGAGTTGCATAAGAACATGATTATATCGTAGTTTTACTTTGTATATTCATTGATGAGTATCTTTCAAGTAGTTTCATAAACTTTTAGTGACATGTTGTGAAAAGTAACTAAGATAGCTATTTATGGCAACACTATCTGATCGTTAAATCTTCTCAATAGTACTTTGCCTAAGTACGATACCTAATGTTTCTGGAGGTTTTATCTTATACTGGATTGTGAGTCAATACTTTTAAGGATTTCAAACCAAGAAATTTAGTTGAGACCACACCACAGATAAAATAAATACAAACTTCATCCTTTGATCTTATTATCCATTATCCTTGTACTAGAAAAAAATCTTGGTTATCTTCACATAAATCAGGTCTCGTTAATCATATTTCATGTTTTCTGTTTGCTTTTTTTTCATGAAAAATTTGTTTTTATTTTTATTTTTTTAATATCTGCATATCTTGGTTTATTTTAAGGTCACTGAAATGTTATATTGATTTGATAATTAAACGCTTTGGTGCTTATTTCCATGGTTTATCTAAGTGTTTAACATTCTTCTTCTCTATTTCATTTTTTCTTGAAATTATCCTAAATTCGAATCTTTAACTTCTCATTTTAACATTCTTTTTCATTGTTTAAACGAATAATTTCTCTTATATCATTGATTAAAATATGAATACTCAATTTTAATGTGTTTTATTCTAATATGAATTAATACTGAACTATTTTGTCTTAAACTGTTTCATTATTGTTTAATATTCTTTGATTATAAAGTTAAATTTAGTATTAATATGAAAGTTGAAATATATTGATTCGTTAAATAGGAAATATTACGAAAATGTATGTGTAACTAAGCAACAAGATGGCTATCTTTTGATAATATGTGTTATGTTCTGTTATATTAATAAGGTGACAATCTAGTTAGTTATAATTGTTAAAATAACCAACCTGTAATATACAATGTACTTAGCATACATTGGTTGTTTTAAAAAGACTACAATGAATAATTATAATTTTTAGTTGAATTCATGAGTTCATTGAAGGTAGACCACCATGAAAAACTTGAAAGTACTGGACAACCGTTTCGTTTTAGTGTAGGACTCCTCATCAGTGCTCATTCACGACCCCTGCCTCGCGAGATTCGAACCTAGCACCTGTCGGTTTCTCGCACTCGAACGTTTAGCCTCTAGACCACTGAGCCGGCACCCAACGGTGTTAATGTCTAACTTCAACCAATTAAAATGTATACTTATTAACTTACAATATAGACTTGTTCACTAGATAAGGTTTTACATTACACTAATAAATGTGTTGAAATGCTTCTTTGTTATGATGGAACGTTGGTAAGGCTACATAAGTGATAGTGTGTATTATTGTGTGATTATACATTCACAATCAAATATTAATGAAATGAAGTTAATAATCAAGGTTAGATATATCTTGTTTGCCATTACAACAACTACTACGTGTTGATATGTTATGCGTTAACTTGAGATGACGTATGTTGGTAGCCATGATCCTACACTGTTTTTGACTAGTGATTACCATACCGTTTAAATTAAATTTTAACAGCTTTCTTACGTTTATAAATATTTACTACTGGTGAGCACTTGTAACCACATATTTGAAGCCCAGAACGTTCGGTTGATTACTTCTAACTATTTTGCTTTTCTTTACGACCAAATTTCGCATATCAAAAAAGTCATCAAGTTAAAGAAGCTTTATTTACACAAAGTAATTTAACGACTAATTCCATAATCAATTTTATCAGTATCAGAGCTATTAAATGGATTCAGCCTTGATCAAATTAGAAGTTATTTTTACGAATTAATGACGTATAATCTGTAATACAAAAATCATCTATAAACATTAAGTGTTACAACTGCCTCTATGTCTGTTCAACAGTTGAATTACTTCTGTGAAGTAGGTTTATTGGGCGTACTACCAAGTTTATTCCTGAACATCATTCCTATTCGATGATCAATGGATAGACAAGGAGTGTGAAAAGCTCTTTTTGGCATATTTAGTAGATACAAATCATCATTTAGATATGAATTCAATTTCCTAAATTATTTATCGAATTCTATTAAACTTCCATAGTGTTTCCAAAATTCATCTGTTACATGCAACATAGTCAATAAGTGATTATCTATAATCCCAGTCATTTTGTACAGAAGACGTTTGTACACCCTCTTAATTTACCAAAACATTCTGCTTAGTTTAGGGGTTGTGGAGATTGTCAATTTTTTGATTGAGATCATGAACCGATTGATGTTAGACCATCATTCTGCTTAACCACCCTTACGTTTTCCAAGCTTAAAATTTCATTTTATTTTAATTTATAATTTCAGTTTCTAAATTCTTATTCCTATTTTTATGTTAGCCGATTGTATAATCATGTCTTTAAATATAATTTCTCATCCGCGTCCAATGTTTGACTTCAGTAAAATTAAACAATCATGATGTCAATTCAATGTAGATTCTACTTATTTCGTATACATTCTATGGAATTTACACGTTTAAAATAAAAAAAAGTCGAACACAAATTGGTTTTAGGATACTTATGTTTCATATATGTTAACATTGGATATTAGAGAAGGAAAAGATGCAGAAATTGTACAAAACATAAGTTTGAAAATATACCAACTTAGAGGTGAACAATTCCTAATAATTCATATAAGAATTATATGAAGTGAATAGCATATATATAATACGGTAAAAAAACAACATGTATAAAACATGCATGTGAGTAATTGATAAAGTCAAATGTATGGGTTACAATAAACGGAAAGATTAGAGTAATTCATCTGTCCAAAAGTTAGAATATACTATGCTGACACGATGTAATAGTGATTCCTAAAGGATATTGATTACTGGGTATACGGAAAATAATAAGTGACTTTGATATACTGATCAGTTACCGCTTACTTGGTATTGGCTTTATCCTTAATTGTACTATGTATACATTAGAATGGATCCTTGAACATGAAGTAATTGAAAAGAAATACCTGAAAATTTTTTGAAAGTAAATAAATGTTTAAATCTTTGTACTGCTAAGTTATTTAAATACATACCTAACACTCAGAACAAAATATCATAACCTTAAATAGAACTAGCGTGGGTATATATGTATAAATATATGTCTTCCTTTTTATACTACATTTTACTCAATGTAATGCATCTACCAACTACAAGTGCAATATGCTTGGTTAAAGTACGTGGATACTAGTTCTCTAATCAACAATCTATTAGCTATAAGCTCAATGTTTCTCAATACTATAAAATCAGTTGATATTTTAATTGTGTATCAAGATCTTATCTTACTTTTGTGTTTTCAAAGTGATAAATTCTTAATTCGTACAAATATAGAATTTCATCGTTATTAATCTAGGTATCTCAACAACGTTTAAATATCATGTAAATAGAGACTCATAGATAGCTAAAGAGTGTTGGTTTGTTGTTTCATCATCAACTACCTTATATGAGTTCCATTAAAGACCCTCAAATTTAAACAATCTATATTATTGTATATATTTTTTTAATGTTCTATTTAGTGTTCAACATATTTTTGATCACATAAATATGACAAAGGATCAAATTTGTCAAACTGATTCAAAACGTAATTATAATATTGATCAAAAACAATTATGGGATGCATTTAATACAAGCTATCAAAATCAAGAAAAAATATTTCGACCTTCACATAATGATATAAATACATATCATTTAGATGATGATCTGAATAATGATGATGATGTTGCTGAAGATGATGATGATGATGATGATGAAGAGATTATAGAAACTCATTATGATAATGTTCATAGTTGTCGTAAAATGAACAATTTCTCTATTGATAAAATGGATACAAAACGAATTTCAAAAATCTATAGACAACTTCATAATTTACGTTGTCAAGTTGAAGTAGGTAGATGTTAGATTTATTGTTTTTTATGTTTGATTTTATAATTGTAATTTTCCAGTGATTTATACTTTAAGTAGTTACCAATGATTACTATAAAAAATTTAAATGTGGGATCATGGGCCGCCAAAGAGAGTTCCATTTATGAACAAAACAAATATCTAGTACTTCCAGATATTCAATAGTTATCCAACTAAGGTCAGTCTATAATACAATCTATAAAATTTGAAATCATGTTCTACAGTTATAAAAAGGAATAATAGTATATTTGAAAACTTCACGAAAACATTGAGCTTCATGTTTGATTTTCAACAGATTTGGTTTCTTACCTGCACAATAAATGGAAACAGAAGTCCAGTTATATGTTGATAATTCTAATGATAGAAACTGAAGAAAAAATTGAATTTACAGACAAGTTAATTCAGTTATATAATAATTATTAACGGTCCCAACAAATTCTTCCGGAAATGTTTTTTACTTATATATTCGTTTAGTAAATTATAAATTGTAAAGTATTTGATTCATTTTTGTATTGATTGTTTGAGTCTTCGCATTGATGTTTAGGGCAGCAATTGATCAGTCTTATATTGATACATGTGCATCCTATGTGGATTGCTTTGATATTACCTGAAGTCACAAGTGAGTTCAAGAGTGAACATCAACTGTAGGATTCAGGTTTATCCAGCTGACGAGTCCCAAATGAGACGAAACATGCGTCCTGGATTCCACTACTAACCATCATTCATCTCTGTGTATAATCAAGTATTTTTTTATTATTCTCAGAAACTCATTTTTAGGAATGATTATACTGATCAAATGTTCCAGTTAATACGATATCATTTGATATTGGTTAGGCTTCAAAATATACTCACGTTTTTCATTTTAGATAATGTTTATGTACTTCGAATGATTTCGTTTTTCTGTCTAATAATGTGGCTATTATTTATAAACGTTTGTCTTCTCAGTCGTTCTCCTATCTAAGTTGGCTTGGATTAACCGCAGAACAACCCCCAACACAGAAAATTCTAGTTCCTGGCTTTAATGCACCAGCTCCAAATCCTCAGATGCACTTAATTCGTCGATCTGATGCAGATAGTCGGAGGAATATACAAGAATTTAAACTTCTATGGTAAATTAATATTTATTGTTTGTCATTTATATCATATTTTGGAAAGAAAGTTGCTTGTTAACAGTATTTTTATTCAGTCTAACATCAGAAAACGTACTTTGTTGACATATTTCATAACCTAGTATGTGGTACTCAGTTGAAAACAACAGCGTATCGTGTCCTCTCGTGTTAGTTGATAAATCAAGAATATCATGTAAATAATTTCACTTAGTTGAATTATTACTATCATTGGCTAGGCATCTAAAAATCTTCACTTATCTCAATTTAAATTTAGAATTAATTTAATCAAAACATATCATTACTGCATGAAGTCACTTAGTTTGACCCCCATGTTGATATGCGCAAACTATCTAGTTACAATCCGTTCGATAACCATGATAAGTAGTTGAAAACTTTAGGTGACATAGATCAGGATCATCCAAAATGGAGCAGATACCTTCAAACAATGATGAATTATCTTGAACCTTATTGTGCTTTTATACGTAATTTTTTTTATCTTTTTCGACCTCATTCACATTGCTTATTCTTTCTCACTTTAATTGTAACTACACTACTTTGATGTTTTTACAATCCATCTTATTAGTTTCATTTACTCATGATTTATTTATTTATATATCTGAACACATAAATGTTGATAGAAAGGGGTACCGAATACATATGCGATACAAAAGTCACTTGATTTGTGTGTGGGCTGTGATACTGTCCGGGTGCCCAAAGCGAAGCATGTAGTTTTCTTAAGAGGCCACTTCTCAGCCTTTGACATGAAGGTCTGATCCTCAAGACAGTGGAGCAACGTCAACTTTGTAAACAACACCCCACCAACACGAGAAGGCAGTGAGTAAGACTTCTCTCGCAGTGGCTGTATACACGTGCCCATATGAGAGCTGTTCGAGAGGGAGAGCTGACTCTCCACACCCTCGGCCGTACCAGGACATTTGGGGGCATGATGATATAAAACGACAACTTGGGCTAATGCTTGTATGTACTAAGCTCCATATCTGTTTACATCCAAAATTTCTAATAATTATTTTGTATTAAAACACAATTATCACTAGTTGAATAGATATAATTAACATTTAAATTGTATTTTTATGAAATGACAAATACAGTCACATTGTTTTTCATTAGTAATTACAATTTAACTAATGAATGTCATGAAAATGTATATACATAATACCATTCATTAACATCTTCATTTATTGTTTAGCAGTTAACAGTTCTCAGCATAATATGTGCAATATTTTGAACCAGTCCCGTATTATGTTTATTTCAAGTTGTGGACATTCATAGGAATCTATATATAGAGAGAATACTTTCTTTTTAACATTTATTTACTGTCATCCATCATCATTAGTGAAGTTTTACGACTAATGTTTTACTTATAATATCGTTTTAGATTATATAATATACCTGTTGAGTCAATTCCATTTTAATAATCGTTTTTTTCTAAAGAAGGCGATGAATGAAGCAAACCTACCATTGTAATGATTAAGCTTCATCTTTTCAGTAATTAACTTTACAATCTAAGCTGTAGACAACTTATAATGACTCATGTTTAAATGCTATTATTATAAGTATAGGATTGTGGAGATTATTAAGTTATTAATTAAGATCATGAACCGACTGATATTAAAACACCATTGAAAACCTGCATGCACTAGACATCTGTTTCGTCCTATTGTGGGACTCCTCGGCAATGCACATCCAAGATCTCGCTCGTGGGATTCGAACCCAGGGACTAATAGTGAGTTAAAACAAATTTCTATTCTCTTAGTCAAAGTATAAAAAAAAACTTAAGTGTTTACGTTAGTTACACCACATCACTATGACTAATTTCCACTATTTCATAAATATGTATTTTTATCAATCGTTAATATTATCGATGTAACCAGTCGGTTATTTGTATTCTAATATGCCTGTAACAATCTATATTTAAATATTATATTCTCTAAAGAATACATTTTAGGCTATGCCGTGAAACGCCAGAAATTCCAATTTTTTTTGTTTTGTTTTACTCATTGGGAAATTATCAAAAAATATTCTTTTTTTTTTCTAAAAAAAATCTTTATCATTATCCATATATTCTGTTTTGTTTAAATGTATTAACATCACAAATAGAATGAAAAGAGAAAAAGACAAACAAACAAATAAACTCCACTTTATCATTTATGCTTAGTTGATTTTTCCACTATTTATATCTTTACTTACTACTTTTATTGTATAAATAATATTTACGTTACATTTAGTCATATGAACAAATTACTTTTAGGAAAGAAGAGTTAAACTGAATCAAAGTTTTTAAAACAAACAAACAAACAAAATTGTATAATTAGAATGATCTTATGGGACTAGGGAATGTGAAAGTATAACTCGTATAGAGATCTATATACCGTTGTTATATGGTTGTTTTTTTTTTCATCGCAGACTTATCATTAATTATACTCTTATTACTCCGATTTTGTATTACTTATAACTAAGTTATGTAATTTATTAACTGCGTTGATGTGTTGTCAAACGTTTCTATTACATTATTGTGTAAAACTGAGACTGATGATTGAATTGAGTAAAAATGAGAAATGAACAGTTTACTGTTTTAACTTTGGATTAGTCACTGAGTGAAGAGTTTGAGGGTCAATAAGCGTAAAGCTTTTGATTATTGTTGATTGTTCGATGTATCATTTGGTTGATAGGACGTCATTTATATAGATGAATTGATCGGAAACCGGACCAGAGAAAGAAAAAGAGATTTATTCGACTGTTCTCCTGTCATTACGACCCGAATACAGAGGATCCTAATAAAACCAAAACAGCTAGTCTTTACATAGCTTTGATATAGATACTTAATTGCATTGTAATAAGATATTCTTCAGAGTTTTAAATTTGTTAAATTAAGTCAATCTGATCTCAATTCAGTATGTAAAAATTACTTTCTGTCTACCAGATAAATTAAAAATGTCGTACAACCTGACTTCTTGGTAAATTTAGAACGAACAAAACCAACAGAGTTTGAAGAACGAGTTAGTTTTATTTAAAAAAACTTGTTTATTTTCTGTCCAAGGAAGATTAGACAACAACTCTGGGATTCAGGTATATCCAGATGACAATTCTTAAATGGGACGAAACGCGCTTCAAGGATTCGACTGCTAACCACCACCCATCACCCATCTTATAAATTCGTCTGTATTATAGCTGATGAGAAACCATGAAATTGAAGGAATTCAGTCTATTACTCATACTTTTCCGTTTTTGCTCTATTTAAGTTAAAATAACTTTTTCTTGTGATTGTATTGTAATGAAATACAACTGATTCGAGATATTATTTGTATTAAACTGTTATTTATTAAAATCTAAGTTTGAGTTATTGTACAATCAAGTTCTTGCCCATTGTTTAGGTAAGTACTTGCAAGACCATTAATATACTGGACATTATTCGTGAGGTAAACATGAAACATGATTAAGAGTTTGTTGGTAATTAAATAGTTACTTATTCAAACCATGTCATGCTACAAGCTTTCTTTCACAATATCCATTTCTATCGTACGCATAATTCAGTCTCCTAACCATGTCTATCAAAAGTGTATCAAAATAGTGAATAAATCAATGTAAAGTTTACCTTGACAAAATTATTCGGTTTGGCTTTATTTTGTTTAATCTGGTTAGTGTTTTTTTTAGCAAGTTTTCCTTCTACGGGATGGGGATGCCTATCCCGTTCCCAACCCACATCCTTTACCCGGGTTTGTGACCAACAGTAGCCATAGAAGAGCTACTTCGGTTTAGGGGATTAGCAATTTTTGAAATTCCGTCTCTGCAAAACCAAAACGTAACAGCTATCCAGCCCTCTATAATTATCAACGATTGAGTGATAACGTGTCTTCCTTTAAAACTGATCTCCATAATATTGGTAATAATATTAGTAATAATAGTATACTCACTACTGATCAGCCCACAAATAAATGTATTAATATGAATTTAGCTAATTTGTGAGTAAGAAAACCATGTGTCGATGTACTTTGATAATGATCCTATCTTACTATGAAATAACTGAAAATGCCATATGATAACCATATGTGTCGTTCTCGTCTTTAGACCTATATCTCATGGATACGATATAATGAAGAACCTTAAGCTAGGACTAAACATCTGGTTAATAGTTCTTCAATCTTTATTAATCCGATGTATAAACTAATTTGAAATTAGGTAAAACTTATTAGGATATATGTGCGCACATTTTTATGACGAAAACCTATTCTTTTATCAACCTATTCTATTATCATTTTACACAAATATTTATGAATTATTTCCTTGTCAATACATTTTTGTATTATATATAGTAAAGAACCTGTTTCTAAAGAAGATTTAATTGAGTTACGCTCATCTACTTTTAATAATTGGTCTAGAACAGATGCTCAATTAATACGTCTAGTTCGAGAAATGTTTCAAGAACTTGGATTTATTGAACATTACAATTTACAATTACATCGATTAGATTTATGGCTTGCTGATATTTATAGACGTTATAATCGTGTTCCATTTCATAATTATAAACATGCATTTATGGTAACACAAATGGTAAGTTAAATTAAAAATTTTATCATTCTCTAATCAATAAATTTCATATTCATAATTACTTCTTTTCTAAAGTAATTAGACCCTTTGATAAATTTTGATTATGTAATAAGAAGATGAAGATTATCAGAACTATGTGGTGATATATTAGCGCAATACATTTTGAAGAAACATAATGTACATCTTAAGAACATTTATATATAAAAATAAGATGTCAACAAGACTGGAAATGCGGAGACAAGATTTATAATAAGAGTAATAATAATAAAGTGAACATAATTTTAAATCTAATCACTCTGGATAATAAGTCACTATTACCAAGGTAGGTTTAAGGTATGAACAAACTGTTTTTGAATACATAAAGGGGGTTTGAATTTTCGTATGGTTAAAGCTTCAGTAAACCTTTGTATACGCCCTTTTAAACTTTTATACAATACCAAGAAAGCCGAGTTAAGATCAATCTTATGGCCTGTTTCGATTAAATGTTTAGCAATAAAGGATGATGGATGTTTATCCTCTTAACAACTTAACATCATCATCCATGGCATCATTTATACAAATACGATCAAGCCTGTTGAATAGGCACTTTATCAAACCACGTTTATATTGCACAGGGCATTAACAGTAATAACTAAGGTACTGACCTGTTCATGTTGGTTTTCTAAAAATGGATCGCTTGATTGTGCCATCTCGTCTACTCAGAAGTACATCTAGGAAAGGAAGCTGGTCGTTCTTCTCCTCTTCACATGAGAGACTGATATGGTTTTTGAGAATGTTAAATTTATTCAATATACAGTACATATCCTCTTTTCTTTCACGAACAACTTCTTTTCTGAAACTTTTAATTTGTTTTCGTTTATTTTTCAAATTTAATTGTTTTCAATCTTTGTGGAATTAGTCAATAAGTTTAACACTCAGTCTACCTGTTATTGTCTTTGAATTAAATTCATTTCCCAAAATGACTGTTCTCGTGTTTTGACATAGTTGGGACTAGCTTTCTTTCAGTTATACTCCATGCTAGCAACCATACGATGTCCGAATGTTCTGTGACTAGATATACATACTTTATATTTTTGGCACCTTAGTCAATAAGTATTCAAATCTTAATCAAATTATACCTAATGCATTCCTTCCAAATTTGGCACTACACACTTGATAAACCAACTGTACTTAATTGATTATTCACAATCGCGTATGATCAAATACATGAAACTTGGACATGTCTTTTGCTTTTAAGGTTAATCCTTCACAATTGATAAGTAATACTGAATGGATTACTTCATAGTCTACTCATGATTCCATAGACAAATGAATAGCTTGTTTGCTCATCAATTAACCAAGTTGTTAAAAATTAAACAGCGTCCTTCTATCCATGCTGACATTACATTAACCATCAACTCTTTCAATAAGATCGATAAAACAACCATAAGTGGGTTTTTCAACACGTATAACTATTTTCATGTCCGCAATCAGATCATGCATTGAGTCAGAACAGTTTTGAGTTAACCTTTCATACCTTGATCAACCATTTACTCTATCTTGACATTTATGTTTTTTAAATTAGACTTAATTTAGATTTCGTCCACTCATTTCATTTGTCTCATGTAATAGTTTATTTTTAATGCTTAGTTTATCACTACTAACGATATTTTATTGTTTCATCTCCAATGCTTTTCATGGGAATAATTTTCCCTCTTGTTGTGGGTCGATTCATGGTTGTGCCAAAACTTACACTGTTTATAGTTGACTGACTCATATGACTTACTTAAACCCTTGCAAAGGTTTGATCCTGAACATTATATGCATATATGCCTAAAAGAATCGCAAATTCTCTCTTGTATCACTCCAAAAGCTGCGTATAATTTCAGTCTGGTTTCGCCAAAGCGATACATTTTTTTTCTAAAAATAGCTTATGACTTGAACATGATAGCAACTTGATATATATATATATATATATATATATTTTTTTGTAACGTAAATGACTATCTAAATGCTGTTTAATTTCTTTGTTTTAGTGCTATGTTTTAATCTGGGGTGGAAATTTGACCAATCTACTTGACATAGATGATCAGCTTATTTTGATTATATCGGCCATCTGTCATGATTTAGATCATCCAGGATTCAATAATGCTTATCAGGTAAGTCCTAGAGTAAGATAGAAGTATATATATACATATATATATATATATATATATATATATATATGGAGTGAGAGAGAGAACAGCAGTTCCTGAAAACGTTAAGAGAAAGACAGAAAAAGTAAACTGTTCAAAACTAAAAATAGGTATATAAAGCATAATGTATAATAAAGAAAACTTTTGATAAGTTGTGTTTCTCTTCCTCTCCACCCCTCCTCTCTGTCTTGTTTTAAGTTATTTTTACCCTATTTTATCTAAAATTGCAACTGTCAGATAGTAATTATTTTATGTATAACTAAATACCATGATATTCATCGAGTCCAATATTCACTTATCTTTAAGTTAATCTCACTTAAAAAGCACTGAAAATCAACATATTGAGTTGTAATTGTATATAACTATTCCTAGTCAAATAAATATCTGGGTTACCTGAACTTGCAATCAAAATATTTCAACACGTTATCTGTTTTTGTTTGTTTTAACACATTATATATGTCTATTAAGTGCACAACCCATTCAGGCGCGTTTATAAAATGTTCAAGACCTTTCACTGTACAAATGACAAAAAAGTACAATCAGAAATATTGTGGTAGCTGACAATACTCATCGAAAAGAATATACATTAATTAGATGTCTATTCTTGAACTGCTAATATCTAACTGGCGATCATTTAATATGTTGTCGCCAGGATCGATGAAGAAGTGATAAAAGAAAACTTAATGAAATCCTTTGTGTTGAGAATTCTATATTGTACCAAAACTATAATATTGAATAAAGCAATTAGTAACAATAATAATAATAACAATAATAATTTTAATATGTCATTTTGATTAATGACAACAGTTTGAATGTGAAATTCTCAAAAATGTGAAGATGTGGAAACAATCTAGGATTTTTTTTTCTTTTTTTCTTGAAAAAAAAACACTGACGCTTCTAATAATTGCCCATCTGATTCTCGTTTAGATTCAGCTATATTTTTCCCAAACATAAACACGCATACACACACTTTTTCGCATTGTTTTCATATCCGGAAATATTCTGAGTTTTATTAAAATCAAGGGACGATTAAAGTTAGAAAACCATTGGAAATTTGGAAGAACTGGACAGCTGTTTTGTTTTAGCATATGCCTTCCTAGAATTATAGAGGAATATTGCCAAAACCTTCGGTCTCATACACATATTCTTTACATTTATACCGTTGAACCGTAGTGTAATTCTATACACGTAATTTATAACGAAACGTATATTATAGGAAATTTGAACTCGTTTCTTGAACTATTAATAACGGATTTTGTGTTGTATAATTTCTGAGTAACTTGTAATGTCTAGTACCATGTCAAAACGATATAGGTTAATCTAGCTTCCAGACAGATCAATTTATTCATTCTTCTTGAGTTAAATTTTGACCTTGCCAATTATCCGCTTATTAAACATCACTGTTTTTATATGAGGGTGTGTGTTAATCCCTTACCCTACTCACCACATATTTGTAACTTATTTTTGTCTAACTACAAATACTTAGTCACGCTTGGTTAAATCGAGTTGGCCCACTTACCTTTTCCAATATGCGTAATTTAGTTTCGCTTCGATTTCTTCGCTTCGTTTCTCTGATCATTTGTCTAGATCAGCGACTGTCTGAAATGCATGTATTCGAAATCCATCCTCGTATTAGACTTATTTAATTCCGTTATTCACTAACACGAGCGAAGTTGATGATCATATATGAGGGTATCTCTGATGTACATTTCGATGGTTTGTTTATTTATAAGTGTTATTTTTCATTTAATGGTGTGTTGCTGTCTGGAATATCTTGATATAAACCGTGTTTTAAATATAAGTATGTTAAAGGGTAGTTACTGACTACTGTACTCAACCCATGGCATAGAGACGAGCTAGCGGATAGTAGACCAGTCAGAACCTAGCTGTTGGCTGAAGCTTGGTAGTACTGACCAAGTCAGATACACTAAGCTATGGAGTTTAATTAGAATCAGAATTCTAATTGATTACAGGGAATGTGATGTTGGTCTGAGGTTCGAGACATAACAATATCTAAATTCAGTGAAGAAAGAACATAAGAAGAACAGCAGACAATAGTTGAGCAGCATCTTGGACTGATTAGAGTTAGTCCTGCATATTACTATATGCCGTCTCAATGATCTATGGGTTAAGGGTTTATCTGGCGACCGGAAGTCCTGGCTCTGAACCTCTGTGGTGGGTAATGGGTGGTAAATGCCAAGAAGTTCTACATTCAAACAAAACAGTCATTCTGTTCCTTCAGGTTTTCAACAGATGTCTGACTTGAATCGGTTCATGATCAGTGGGCATCCACGATACTGCGTGTGGGACTCAAACCATTAACTTCTAGTCCGACCTCAACTTATTCATCATATTGCGCTATCATCTTTCATCGTCTGCGGTAGGTAACTGTCACACGCACGGTTGAACTCCAGTGGTCACCGCTTCTCACTAAAACTCAGAGAATTACCACTCAAAACTAATCACTACTTCACATATGATAGTCCTATACTACGACGAAATATTCTTCGAATGTCTTCAGGTTTTTAATGGTGGTCTAACACTGATCGGTTTATTGGCTCTATGAGACTGAACAATCTCCACAACCCTATACTTATAAAATTTATTTCTTAGAATAAGAAATACAAAATTAATGTGACGGCATTTTTCGGAGACTTAATTGATGTTGTATAACTTAATTATTGCATATCTAAACATAAATACAAACCATCGTGTTATATTTTTCCACACTTGAAATTTACATTAATTGGTTTGTTCAATCTCAGTCTGTATTAACCTGGTAATTATACTTATACGAAGAGAAATAAATAAACATGGCACATATGAATAGAACTTAGAAGAAATACGGTATTATAAAGTTTAAGCCACATTGGTACAGTGCCAAATATTCGTTCATTTTATATTTAAAACTTGAGTTATGAAAAGATACTGCTCTATAACTGTCCAATTTATAAACTTGATGGGTACAGAACACTAAGATCTTCAAGTGCTTTGAAAAGCTTGCAAAAACTGGCATCAAATGAATTAATGTCTTGATAACTCAATGTTAACATTTCGTATAATTAGTTTCCTTTGCTATGTTAGAAAGAGCAAGAACAATGAATTGAGCAAGAAAACATGAATTCATTCCATTTCATGTTTTCTTGCTCTCTTTGTTAAAAAGTCAAAAATTTTGATTGGGTTCATCTACTATGAATTGTATGATCTTTTATCACACGTTATTATGTTAATCTAACCCATCATCAATTTGTTCCTAAAGGGTATAATTATTACAAATAAATATTTTAGCATGTGTTTTAATTAAATGACTAATGGACAGTGGGTGTGAATCTTTACTGATTTAGTTTTTTGTGACATGTAATACCTACACCTAAGTACCGCTTACATTGACGTACCATACCAACTGATGTAGAAGTAATTGTAAAGAGAGCTAGTAGAAGTCAAACTATTTCGCAAATAAGCCTATAAAGTGATTGGGTATATCTAAACTACTTATTTGGAATATTTTCGATAAGTTCGACCAGTGGTTGAGTACTTTGAATGATATGTCTGAGAATCTTCCAAAATATAATAGATAAGTCCACTCTTTATCTTCTTCTAGATCTTAGGCCTCACTATCCCTTCATATGTGCCTTTTCCGTTTATCTTTTTTTAACTGTATTCTCATTATAAGCACATATGTGTTATGGCTAGCACTGGAACCCATGATGCCCGTTTTGTCTTATTTGGAACTCATCAGCTGGATGTACCTGCATCTTAGATTTGATGTTTACTGTGGGACTCTAACCCACTGTAGTGTGTGATACTTATGTCGACAGATATAAGTAGTATATAACACCAATCGAAAGTGGAATGCTTGACAGCAGAATGTTGAAGAGATCAAATAGGAGAGAACGGGAACAGAGAGTGATTGTTATGGAAATGAGGGAACAACAAAGTCTGAGACAATTGATGGACAGTTTGTTAACAAAGCATTTAGTGTACGGTTCTCAAATTTTACCAAGATATTCTGTAAATTCGTGTTCAAATTTATTTGGTTGTCTCTACGCACATCCTTGTTCAGTACACTAGTAACTTTCGCTTCAAACTCATCGCGTTATCCGCTTAGCTACTGAGTCCTGATATTCACCAGCTTATTCAATGAGGTGATGTTTTTAATTCATTTTTGTATTGTTTTTTTTTAATATTCTCATTGATTAATTGCGGTCCTAAACATCAATGAGAACATTCAAACAAAGAATGCAAAAAGTATTTTAATTGTTTAGTTTTCCTCATTTTGATCGCTACTTCATTACCTTGACTTCTTTACTATTCATAGGACAACTTAGTCTAATGCACATTTATGCCAGATTATATGTTGGCTATGATTGATTTACTGACTATTGACAATTACTTCAGTGATTAGTCGTTTGATATTTGATAAATCTTGAAGTACTACTTATAAATAAGAAATTAAATGTATTGAAATAAATGCGATATCCTTACATTTTTGTTCAGCTTGACTTTTATTTTCCATCCATTCAGTATAATATTCGTTTGTGCTAATTTTAAGTAAATTTTGTCTGATGTAACAAATGATCACTGGATCTAAACTTGTGTATGAATGAAGGTATTCGAATAATAAATAATTCTCTTGGATCTCTATCAATAGATCTACTAGTTAGCCTTGAAGTCTTATTCCTAGTTAGAGGGCAAGGAATTAGTTTGTGTTGGAAATTATTCATCTAGTGCGAAAACAAATCACTAGTGTAGATTTAGATACCTAAAAGCCGAATCTCAACCAGGTTGACGCAGTGTTATTCTAGGAAGTTATTAACTTTAGGATCGAATAATGTAAGAAGAGGGGAACACCCGTATTCGAGTTGGCCAGATGACGGTTACCTATGATTAAAACTGGCTACTCGGAATTTGGTTTATTCATCTCTAAATGCCATAGTGAGCGTTTTCTTTTACGGTTATAATTTTCGTTTATATGATTTTGTGAGAATCTAGCTGTCAAATTATTTTGATTATAAAATGATTATATTCTGAAGAAAAGAAAAGAAAGACAGTTTTAATTAAACGTCATTACCTATAGTTAACTGGTTTGGCGCCGAATTAAAATTAGTTTATTCTAAATGATAGGAAACTCAGTTCATTTAAAAGATATTTTAGCATTACTTATTAGTGAATGTTAAACATATTTTTTGGCAGAAATATGATATTTAAAAGCATTGGCAATAGCAGACTAAAAAATGACCTAAACTAGGTAACCATTGAAAACTAAGAAGCATTGAACAGCCGTTTTGTTCTGGTAAAGGACTTTCAGCTTAAGAGTTAGACTCTCACTGTGAGACCTGAAGGTCTTTGGTTCTATCCTTAATATAGTTGTGGATGCGCACCGTTTTGGAGTCCCATATCAGTATGAAACACCTGTCTAATCCCTCCAGGTTTCCACTGGCTATTTAACTTTGCTTAGTTTGTTATTTCAGTAATATTCTATAATCTTCACAAAAGCTTTATTGTTGGGTAATCCACAAATATCCTTTTTCAAAGCCTCTAGGGACCAAGAAAACACCAAGGAGTGATTCGTTTGATCACCGCTGAATTGATGCTTATTGAAAACATCAAGAAAATAATGAATCACGTGTCATATTTTTGACTGGATATCCACATACACCGTTATTATGAGTAGTATGTTTCCGGAAATTTATAGAATCTCAAGGTTACGTTTAACTCTATGAATAAATATCTTCGATTATCTTCTGATAAACTAACCTTGCATATAGCTCTTACTTGCATTTTGACCCATTTTTCTTTTGTCCGGTTTGTTGAACAGAAGCAGCTGGGATCATTGGAAGATGCTATGAAGTCAGTAATAAGCGTCTCGGTAGCACACTTATCACTTATATTGACAACAGTAGAAATATTTTATCAAAGAGGAAGTGCTGTTCATATAAATCGAGCAGAAGACATTTCTAAAAATTATAAATTAAATTGTTCATGTGTGCAGAAATAAGAAATATCTAAGCTGAACAAACCCATTTTACTAAATACTAAGAGCATGAGAATATTTTATAGAGGCCAGTTCAGGTAGCCAATTGATTCTTAATCTTTACCTTCTGGATACAGTGCTCCGATTTTTAATACGAATATCAATTACAACTGTCGTTCGACAGAATGATTTTAACATTGTAGTTTATTGAATGATTAATGTTTGCATTATATTAAATTCAAGCTAGCTGAAACAATATCGAACTGTTTATGATTTTACGTACATATTTGTTTAACTTCCAAATGGGTTGTAGAAATTAGTCTGGTTTTATAGCTATGATGGAGAAGTGTTAAAAAGTTATAAGTAAACGGTTATTTCTTCCTGGTTAAATACGCCTCTATAGGCGCATTTACAACCCCACACGATACCGCGCTTTTAGGTCTAGCACTAGATGCGATCCTACTCATTAGTTAATCGAAATTCCGGTCGTCGTGATTTCCGATTCCAACTAGTTCTTAGTGAAAACCATTTTCGTCAAACTAACTACCCCTGACTCCTTCTTAAGTTGAGTGATTTTTGGATGCTAGTTTAATTTGAAACAACCTTTGTCATTTGATAGCGTGGACAGAACAACTCTATGGAAGCTTCTTCGACACTACGGCGTGCCTCAGAAGATAGTCAATATCATACAGAATTCCTATGATGGATTAAACTGCAAAATCGTTCATTGAGGACAGTTGAAAAAGTCGTTCGAAGTGAAGACCGGTGTCAGGCAAGGTTGCTTACTCTCCCCCTTTCTCTTTCTCCTGGTGATCGACTGGATCATGAAGACATCAACATCTGAAGGGAAGCACGGGATACAGTGGAATTCTAGGATGCAATTGGATGATCTAGACTTTGCAGATGATCTGGCTCTTCTATCGCACACAACAACAAATGCAAGAGAAGACGACCAGTGTAGCAGCAGCCTCAGCAGCAATAGGTCTCAATATACACAAAGGGAAAGGCAAGATTCTCCGATACAACACAGCATGCAACAATCCAATCACAGTTGACGGAGAAGCTTTGGAAGATGTAAAAACCTCTACATATTTGGACAGTATCATCTATGAACACGGTGGATCTGATGCAGATGTGAATGCACGGATCGGCAAAGGAAGAGCAGCATATTTACAACTGAAGAATATCTGGAACTCAAAACAATTGGCAACCAACACCAAAGTCAGAATTTTCAATACAAATGTGAAGACAGTTCTACTGTATGGGGCGGAAACCTGGAAAACTACGAAATCGATCATCCAAAAGATACAAGTGTTTTTTAACAGTTGTCTATGCAAAATACTTCAGATCCGCTGGCCGGACACTATAAGCAACAACCTACTGTGGGAGAGAACAAATCAGTTCCCAGTGGAGGAAGAAATCAGGAAGAAGCGCTGGAAGTGGATAGGACACACATTGAGGAAAGCACCGAACTGCGTCACAAGATAAGCCCTCATATGGAATCCTCAAGGTCGAAGGAGGAGAGGAAGACCAAAGAATACATTACGCCGAGAAATGGAGATAGATATGAGAAAAATGAACAAGAATTGGATGGAACTAGAAAAGAAGGCCTAGGACAGAGTGGGTTGGAGAATGCTGGTTGGCGGCCTATGCTCCATTGGGAGTAACAGGCATAAGTAAGTAAGTAAGTAAGTTGTCATGGACTGATGGTAGTTGTGTAATTTGAAGGTCCAAGGTTCGGCTTTTGACAAGGCCATAAATGTGCTTTCATGGAGAATTCCCGAATAGAACGAAACATCTGTATATTTCCTTTTAGCTTGTAATAATCCATAATTTATTTGTTTTTTCTTTCATCAGATCAATGCTGGAACCGTGTTGGCGATGAGATACAATGATCAAAGTCCATTAGAAAATCATCATTCGGCTGTTGCATTTGATTTATTGAGTCATAAAGAAGTTGATCCCTTCTCCCATCTTTCGACTGCTATTAGACAACGAATTCGAAAAGGAGTGATTAGGTAAGATTATTTATTACAATGATTTAGTTTGACAGTCTTGATTCTTTTTATTTTCCCCCTCCAAATAATAAGCACTAGTTACAGCTTTCAAATTAGTTGTTATGTGCAGAATCATCCTTAAAATATCAAACCTAAATTGACAATTTAACGGTTATTAAAAAGCAAGATATTCTTCAAAAATTCTGATCATTGAAATTTGCACATGTCAGGAGGTGAATCGAACGTAAATTAATTGCGTAAGTAGGATCGAAAAGTCTAGGTTCAGCCGAGCTGGGATATCACGTAAGTCCATGAAGTCACTGATTGCCAGTCTGAGTGACGTTCGAAGGTTCGGACTACCTGGCTGTGATTAATGATAAGGAGACTTTTTTGATGTGGATCAAAATCAGTCTCAGTGCCAAACATCCGTTCATTCTTTGCATTTCCTTAGATCTTTATTTTCAGAATTATCTAAAACCTTTTGTATTGCAATTTGATTCTTTTTTATCAATATGGGGTTGTGCAGGTTGAAGTCATAAACCGATCAAAGCCGCACAACCATTGAAAACCTGGGAGCACTGAGCAGCCATTTAGCCCTAAATTGGGATCCAGGACTTTCGTCATACCCTCGAACACTTAACTTCTAGACTTGTTTACCATTGAATGCTGGCTCAGTTATCTAGAAGTTAGGCGTTTGCGTGCGAAACCAAGTGTCCAGTGTTTGATTCCCTCTTTAAGGGTTGCGGACGAGCACTGCTGAGAAATCCCATACCAGGACGATATGGCCGTCTAGTGCTTCCTAGTTACTTATGATTGTGTAACTTTGATCAGTTGGTGATTTCAATGTAGGTCTTTCTTCTTTAATCACATTTTTTAAGCTTAATCTTTTCTTACTGTAACTGATATTTTCACTTTAATTTCAATCCAAATAACTTTATTTCACTATGCTTATGTGATTGACCCATGTACATGTCTTTCGGATTTTACATTTCTTTTGACTGATCACTCTACTCCTAATTTATTTGACTCTAAAGATCCCTGACTTCTCTCGTAAACGGTCAGAATTGCCATTGATCAAAGTGATTTATTGTTATGACTTGTGTTCGAGTCGAACGCTAATTTTTGTATCTGGTCGTCGCTGATTGTTATGTCGGAATCGCTGACCATTTAGGCTACGAACGAAGGGGACCTCCACAATTCCCACGACGCGAAAGTAAGAACACAAGACTGGTACAAGCGAAGTTTTATTGGCCCCAAACACTATGATGACAACGAGGACCTTAGTCGAAAATACACTCATTTATATATTGATAGTACACCCATTTTGATTAATAATTAGAATGAAATCACATATATGAAAAATACTCAGTTATCACAAATCACCTATAGAGCATAGTTCATGTCAACTGAATACAAGAATGTCGTATATTATACAGAATAAAATATCATACGAGAAAAGAAAAGAAATATTACATTGAGTAATAATTACATTGAATCAAAACAGAAGTAATGTTGAATAAAACTCATAATGAGTAAATTGGTCGAAAATTGACTTTCTTTCCATCATTTATTCAGAAATGTTATCACTTAAATTGACTTTTCTTGGTGAAGAACTGAAGGCCCCCAAATACCCTGGTACGGCCGAGAGTAGGGAAACTCCACTCTTCCTCTCGAAATGCTCTCAAATGACCACGCGTACATAATCTCTGCCAGGGAAGTCCTACTCACTGCCTTCTCGTGGCGGGGGTGTTGTTTACAAAATTAAGAGGACAAAAAGCGAATGTCCGGTGATTTATCCGTGTTGGTAGACATGAAGAGTCCAACTAGGGGAGTTGGAAAACCCTGATTCTAAATAAATGGCGTATAGACCAATTGTTAGTCACCGGCTACCATAGGACTGCATCTCCTGACGTTGTTCCACTGCCTTGTGGATCAGACCTTTATGTCAAAGGCTCAGGAGTGGCCCCCTATGAAAAACACATGCTTCGGTTCGGGCAACCGGGTAGTATCACAGCATATCTGTCTGGTGCCCCCTTCTACCAATATCTATGTGTTCAAATAAATAAATAATAAAGAAGAACTGAGGTTGACAGTAGAACTAATAGAAATAACTCAGCAGGTCATCGAATCAAACTTTTTTTCTTAACTGAATGAAATATTGTTTTTGGTATTTCACAGATGTATATTGGCTACAGATATGTCACGTCATAATGAAATATTAGATGAATTTAATCGTCAAGTTTTGACTGATTTAAACGCTGCATGGGAAATTGATCCAAATACAAAAAAGCCTTCATGGGTTATGAATAAAACACAAAAAGATCTTGTTATGGTAATTATTTTGAAAATATCTGATATATCTAATGAAGCACGTCCTTTAAATGTTGCTGGTCCATGGATAAATCGATTATTAGCGGAATTTTTTCATCAAGTAAATTTAATTATTACTAAATTGTAAACATCTTATGAATTTTTTTTCTATTTTTACGTTGTTTCTTCAACATAACAGCCGTCTAATGCTTCCAGGTATCCCGTAGTGGTCTAGCTTCAATTGACTCATGATCTCAATCATTAACGAAAGAAAAAAAGTTTTGTGCAACCAGTTTTACCAAGGAAGGGTTCTTCATTATCATGTAGATTAAACAAATAATCGATTCATTTTCACTTACATAAAACTGAGATTTTGGACATTGATTCAAACTTTTGGTTATAGCATTTAATATCATTTAAAGAGATTGTCCTGTCCACCAATTGTTATTAACTTAGTAATATGAAAAAGTAAATCGTTATTTCAATCTAATTTGATACACCTCAAAAGTATGTTTCCACAATCGTAGACCTTCAGGTTTCTTTGTGATTATGATACTTTTAAATTGATTTTTTATAAGTTATTGGTTCATATTTCGAATAAGTCTTGTGATATACCGTTAAACACTGATTTCCTAGATGTTTGCTATTTCTCAGATGAGTTCTGCTATACAATCTCAAATAGAAAACAGAAGGTGAGAAATAAAGACAAAGCTTTCTTTTGAGGATTACTTTATATGAGACTTTGAAAATAGTTGTGGCTTCTTAAACACATGCTAAAAATAATAAGAAATCTGATAATTATTGGATTTGAATAATCCAGACATAATCAGTCATTTTACAGATTTCTCTTGTAAGTTTCTAAAGAACATTTATCTATTGGATTATTTTTAACATTATTCTTGATTTCGGATGAAGCTCTCGAAGAAGTACTGATGTTCTTTAAAAATCTCCTATTTCAAATTACTTCAAATTACTTTAAATTACTTCACAAAATTTGTGACCTTCCTCAATGAGTCAGGTGATATTTAAACAAAACATTGTCCGATGTGATGTAGTACTCATCGAAGGCAATGAAAAATGGTCACATCCAATTAAAGTTAGACTTGTATGCCATTCAATACTTCCAGGTTTTCAATGATTGTATGACCGATTTGGAATTCATATGAAATTTAATTATCTCCCTATCTTCATGACTACATAACTATGGGTAATCGATTATGTTGCAGACAATAATATTGTACTCTGATTTTATCTACGTGTCACTTATTTAGAATAAAAGAAAATAACGTGACTTTATCAATATTATTATATTCTTCATAAGTAATCTTTAAATGTACTTATTTCGAGAATACATATAAACAAGTATAGATTTATGTAGTCAGTTTCGCGTCATACTTTTGATGTATGAATATTTGATATGATCCAACTGTATACGTTGAATTAGATGAAGCAGCATTCGAATTATATGCTCAATATGATCATTATTAAATTGAACAATATTGATTATATAATCATTTCAAATGTTTTATTAACGTTTTACTTATTAAATTGTTCATAATTATTGATTATTTCATGATAATTACATTGTAATCATTAGTCTAAATAATTAAACTGTGTTTTTAAAACTGTTGGGGAAATTAGATCCTCAAAACTCATTTGGAAAAGAACCTGATTTTGTAATTTTAATTAGAAAATTTGAATTTCTTTGTTTTCGTGCCAGAAGCGTTCTTTTCATCTTCATGTCGTATTTCCCACTTGTGAGAATCTTAAACGTTATTGGTCCGTTGTGTATTGTAGTATGCTATTTTGTAACGCTTTCCAAGGACGGTTTTGTGCTGTGTATATACGTTTTGATTTGTGTCTGTTGTTATCGCTCGTGCTTCTAGCTTTTTACGGAATATACTTTCCCGTTCGAACCTCGACTTCTCTCTCTAGTTAACGAGGCTAAGACGCAATAGAATAGCTAGTTTATTGGTCTTTGGTTACAAGTCTTTGTTCCATTGGCAGTCTAAGTGAACTAGTACCCGTTTCCAACCTAGCAAAAACATTATAATCTATCAATATCGATTAAATAGATACTGAATTGTGTGTATTCTTGTCTTTTTTTCTTGATTTTCATGATTAGTGTTATTATTATATTTGATTATTGTGATACAAACATGATAGTTCACTTATTACATTCATATTATAATCTAATGTTAGCTTATTCGTTCTATATTCCCTCTTCATTTGTAAATATGAGGTAGAAGTTGGACAACATTATCAAACTCTTATTTACATTATATTATCTAGTATTATGATTCTTCTATTATATCGTTATGTTAATTCATCGTTCCTATTTCCTAATACTCAATATATACCTGTACGGCATGATAATAAATTCATTTCGTACAAATAGTTCTCTTTGTTATATTGAAAAGAGCATGAACAAAGATTCTAGCAGAATAGAATGAATTCATTTTATTTTTTTACTGGTTAAGATCATGAGTCAGTTGAAGCTAGACCACCATGGAAAACCTAGAACCACTGAACTGCCGTTTAGTCCTATTGTGGGACTCCTCAGCAGTGCGCATCCACGACCTCGCCCCTTGCGAGATTCATTTTATTTTGTTTGGTTCTCATCAGCCACCTACAACATGTGATATTTAAAAATCATAATTATATAATGGGTTTAAATTACTTACATGAAACAGTTTAGTCGGAAGTTATATTGAAGGTTGTAAATAAATGTACTAGATTGAATATGTAAAAGAAAATTCTACATTTTTTGTTATCAGAAGGGGTTTTGTGAATATTGTAGTAATTTCAAAAGTTGATATCATGAGTCAATTGAAGCTAAATCACCATGGAAAACCTGGACGGCCTCAGCAGTGCATATCCGCGTCCCCACCCCGCGAGATTCGAACCCAGGACCTATCAGTCTCGCGCCAGGCGCTTAACCAACTAGACTACTGAGCCATCACCTAACTTCAACTAATCCACGAAATTGATCGACACATCAACCATTGTAATCAGTGAGTTACTGTTTCACAACAGGACGAAACGGCTGTCCAGTGCTTCCAGGTTTTCCATGGTGGTTTAGCTTCACTTGACTCATGATTTGAACTACTGAAACATTGATTGTGACATCAGTTCCAGGGTTAGAAACAAGTGACTACATAATAAGTAATCGATTATATGAATAAAATGAGTAAAGCTCTGTTAAATTCATTAAAAAAGGTGATTCCTTTTTAGTCTATCACTTCTAAATAAACAACATTCAACGAATAAAACTATAATATTTTCTGTATACTTTCTTTTTTTCTTAAATTTTACTTTATAGAGTGATTATGAAAAACTTGTTGGTCTTCCAGTTGCTCCATTTATGGATCGACATAAAGTGACTAAATCAGCTAGTCAATGCGGTTTTATTCGTTTTGTTATTTTGCCTTTATTCGAATCTTTAGCTAAATTATTACCAGAAGTTAAAGTAAGTTTATGTATAGAATAAAATCGATAAATGATCGATCATTTATTTTCTATTATGATTGTTAACTGATAAACTGATATTCTTTACGTCAATATTCGATTATTTCATATAATAAGTTTTCTTTTTTTCTTTCAAAATGTCTGAATAATTATGATTCAGAATTAAAGTTGAAATTCAATTGGAGATAAAATATGGTTACTAATATAAAGAATAATAATATAAAAAGTGAATGGAAAAATTTTTCGAAATAAGTTTAAGCTTGAGATTCATTGAAAAACATGAAGCACTGGATAACTGATTCGTTTTAATGTGGAACTTCTTAGTGATGAACATTCGTGACGCCATCATTAGGGATCGAACCTGGACCTTTTGATCTCGCCACGAACATCCAATCTTTAAACAATTGAGTCGGTGTAGAAGTCTAATTTCGATCATTTAGCGAGTTTGTAGTACCATCTACCATTACCTGGAGCGGACAATTATCTCACAAGCTACATGGTTGGATCCCGTTGATCATAGCCTCTCACTTGAATTCTAGAGTAATACCTACAATTCCATACTAGTGAGCATATGGTCATAATCAATAAAGACATGATGAAATTACCCACCACAGACAGTCGATGGCTCGAAATTGTAAGTTTTAAGTGTTCTTTCGCGATACCAAATTTCTTGATTTCTATCTTCGGTCTGATCGTGGATGAGCACCAATGTAAATTGCTTTACTAAGATAGAAAAGCTTTTCAGTGCACCCTGGTTTTGACGGATGTCTAAGTAAAGTCAGTTCTTCAAATCTTTAGCATTTACTAATCACCAAAACTTTTGTAATGATCATTTAGGAAAGACAATCCTGTCAAATTTCTATTAACATTGAACACATTTATATGGCTTAAATCAGCAGCTATAATGAATCATTGTGAGACACTGGTCTGTGATTTTCCAGTATTGGTTAGAGTCTTATTTCTGAACCTGTGAATACAAAATAATAATGCTAAGTGATATTTTAGGCCATCATTGATAATTTGACATACTTTGTAGGGGGATAAAGATTCAGACAAACAAAGAAATTATGATCTCAGAATGAATAGTTTTGAAACCAACTTAAATAAATCAGGTAAAAATAAGATGAACCTAATATAACTGATCGGGGATAAATTATAGATGTATTTATGTGATTGTTATACATCTCTCAGCTTTGTCAACATGACTTTCCAATTATGTATCCTTAACGTCTTGAAAAGTTCATCAAAGCAACCTGGATCCGGTCTAATCAATATTCAGCAGTTTCGTGAACCAATCTATTGATTATCACCAGATAACAATTTATATCAAAGTTGTTATTCGATATTATACATAGACATTATTTCGCTTTCATAACCTAACTTTAACTTAGAAATTCCCCTTTTCCTGATTTCATTGAATGTAAACAATTCTTCATACAAACTGGGATTATCCAATAAACATAAATATCTAACATTCTATAAGGAGTAGGAGCTCAATAAAATAGGATTAAATATAACTGGCAATACAATAGATGTTTATCCATGGATGATTCACTATAAAACGAAAGTCCTACAGGAGATTATTTGATATCCAAATACATGAGAGTACTAACTCATTTTCTTTCAAGGTGTTTGCTTAGTCTTTACTGACGTGCACCAACTAGAATGAAACTCAAGTTTCAACACTTTCTGCCAATACCCTTCAAATATCTAACATGAATACTTAGTTTGTGAAATTGATTCACTAAAACTTGTGATCATATTACAAATTAATCGATAGAATGTTTTCAGTACCAAGTACTAAACAAAACAACAACAACAACAAGAATACGACAATGATTAATGGTCAATGATCAATTATATTGTCATTAATTTAAACTGCTAATTTAAAAGATTTGGAATATCAAATTGGTGTTTTATTTTTCAAGGGGTTGAACTTCTAACGTGGGATTTACTTGTTAATTTAGAATTTGCCGATGACAGTTCAATTTAGTGAAGACGCTAACAAAGAGTCTTCTGACCACTCTAAGCAACAATGCAAGTAGTTCGTGATGCGATTCTCCCCCTAGACACGTAAAATGTTACTTCAAGATTGGGTTGCATCAACACCCAAATTAATGATAGAGAGTGAAGTAATTAAGTGTGTCGACCGCTTCAATTAAGTTGGATGTCTCATCAGCCCTTGTGCTCTGGTGTGTGACGAAATTTCAGCATGGATATAGAAGGCTCGAATAGCTTTTGCCAAATTGTGTCATTTAAGGCGGAGGTGAGATATCCGTCTACTAAAGAAAGGACGGGTTTACTGCAAGGCATTTCGTTTTCTCCTAAATTATGGCAGTGAAACATGACTGGTAAGAGTAGACGATATATGTAGGTTACTAGCATTCGATCGTAGGTGTCTTCGAAGCATTGATCGTATATACTGGGACCACCGAGTAATTAATGCAGTTGTTAGGAAACGAGTACTAGGTGAGGATGTCAAATCAATAGATGAACTGGTGAGACTTGATCAGTTGAGATGACTGGGACATGTGTTACGTTTGTCCAACTACCGACTGCCCCAATGAGCGGTATTTTATGGTGTAGGAGTAGGTTGAAAGAAAGCTAGTGGCGGCCTGACTAAACATGGAACAAATGTATGAAGTCACTGATAAGTGAACTGAGCCATGTTGGTAGGTGTAGACTACGTGGTTGGTATCCGCGAGATGATAGTAAGTGATGGTTAGATAACTTGAATGACATGGCTCAAAATCGTTTGTAATGGCTTAGGTGCATCCACTCTATGTGTTCTCTCAAATTCTACTATTCTGAATTCTTCGTGTCCTTCTTTTACTCTCTCCAAGTTTATTTCACTGGATTATGCTCTTTGAATAACATCTTCAAACCCTAATCTTTCCGATTACTGCTTATACTTTTACTACCTCTATCACTACGGAGTTTGAATCGACAACTGATGTACGTATGTATGATGTTCTACGTTGTTAATGACTGACTTTTTAATTTTTTTGATCGTATATCACAATCTGATTCATTATAGTTTACAAATATTACCATAAATACATATTCAGTTAGATTTTCATTAAGATAAAAAAAAATACATATTTTCTTAAATTATTCAATATTACTGATTTCCTGCTTGGTAACTAGTATATGACAAAGTATAAGATTAGCAATCCTTTTCTTTTCTTTTTTTTCTCTCTTTTTTTTAAATATGTGAAGTGGTTTTCATCTGTCATTAAGTAATTATTAAATCTAGTTGAGAAATCAAGTATTTGTTTTTGTTTTTTTTAGTTTCGAAGTAACTATATTGATTATTGATGAAAACACATTAATCAAAAGTGTTATCATGAAAGTTTAATAATGTGTACTTTACTAGCTTAAATGAAATGTTTTTTTCATTAGAATTCCATTTATTGAATAATCTATTAATGATAGTGGGGTTTTTTCTGTAAGTACTACTTCTAAAAGCAGTTGAATAGTATATGTAGTATAAAGAAGAGCAATCCGAAATTAAGAATGTAAAATGTGACTTGAGAGGATGGTTCACGAGTGAACTAGAGAATGCTCTAAGCAGCTCAGAAAGTGTCGAAGATATTCCATCCAATCATCTTTCGGAAGAGTATTCCAGAATCCCTACATGTAGCTTCCCTATTGGATGAATGCCAATAACCTGTTGTGTGCGGATTAGAGAACTATAATGATGATTTCGTTTTTATTAAAAACTATAAATACCTGGAAGTTTTGTATCATAATTGAAACTGTTTGGAATAACATTTATGGACTACCTTTGAGCTATGCTAAAATGACTTTGAGTGTGTCCACCTAATAATTAGGACCAAACGATGGCTATAAACCAGTGTGAGGAATTAGAATTATGATTTAAAGTTGATGACTAAGGTTATAAATTAGATTTAGGTTTTTCATCACGCACTGATATCAGCTATAATGCCAAAACTCTATTTAGCCAAATGGATAAGTGAATTTTGCACCGAAATCCAAGACCTGTTACCTTATACCGGATTGGTTCGTCCATAAATTAGTCTCGCTAAATGAACCTTTTAGGCTTCTGCGCTATATTTATATGTCACATTTCAGATAGTTGAAATACATTTGTATGCTGCTCAAAACGTTTCAAATAAGTGCAAAAAGTTACTTTTTGTTACTATAAAGTAAAAATAACAGTAATATAGGTAGTTTATATTCAGTCCTGCAACTTTATATTGTTTATAACCGACCCCTCCAAGCTTGGTGGACTTACTGGTCAGAAGCTCTTTCTTACAGTTTTCAACGAGATCCATTCATCCATATTGCTACAGAGCATTTACATTATAGTTGATATCAGTTCGTGATGAAAACTTAAGACTAAACTCTTTCTCACAATCTTTAATACGTAACCTTAATCAAGAACACTGCACAAATACATCAAAACCAATTCGCGCTTCTTTCAGGGTTCAGGAAAACAAATAATCCTTGAGGACGAATATATGTGCAATTTCTGTCGCTCACATCGACAGTTAGCTGTAGATAATTTGAACAAACTTAGTATATCACAAAATGTTTTTCTCCATAAACTAGTTATTTAACAGAGGATACTTTCTGATTGGTTAAGAATTGTCTGGAAACTGTTTGCGGTTGTTCTATACTATAATCATACCATAATTAAGTTTATTTTGTGCCACTCAAGAAGGCTATAGTTTGTCTCTTAAATTGCTTGGTAAATAAAAATTATTACAGTTAACTAAATCTTGCAAATGTAGACTGTATTGTATTATAATACGATTTATTCATAAGTGACTAATTTGTAAAATTTACCAATCTAGTTAGTTCATTTTATATTAGTCATTGAGAAAGCTACAATTTTTATTTCATAATGTAGGTAAGACTTTGAATTGAAATTGTCTCATAGCTTATTACATACTGTTTTGGTTCATAAATTTATTAAACAGATACTTGGTTGAAATCATATGTTTATCTAAATGAATTCTGTTCTGTTTTTTCCGAGTATTATAGTAAACATAAAGATAGTATTGTCTGTAACAAGTACACTTACATTACACTAAGATGATTTAGTCATAAGTTAAATTGGATAGGATGTTTTATAGAGTTTTTTGGATCTAAAGGTAATCTTTATCAAGATCTAATTTTTCATAACCAATCAGTAATAACCATGGAGTATAGCTGATAACTTCTAGTTTTAAACTTTTTAACAGTAAATCCACTCAAAATCTTACCATGGAGTGATTTCATTACATGCAATTTTTACAGCAATTATTTTAACTTTAGCAAAAGAAAGTCTTCTATATTCAAAAAAACTTTGTTCTTGTTTTCTATCTTACTAGCCAATTATTGTTCAACCGGCCTTAGAACAATTAGCCTATTATACAGATTTACAAAATAACGAAGAAAAGAAAACCAATACAGAAAATCAGAAATCAAATAATAGTGAACATCATAGTGATAATAATAACCATCATCAAAATAAAAAGGAACATAACAAATAAAATGTGATTACTTCGATTAAGTCTACTGATCCTGGACAACTTCCAAGCATCAAGTTTTTCTTTAACGTTACTATCATTACTGTTGATAATTATTTTATTGAGTCAGTTTAACCATTGAACAGTCAGATGTTTCAGTGTTCATGGTTACAGTAGCGAAAAGATTTGTTTTTTCAATAACAATAAACACGTTCACAAATCATTTCAGGTAAATAATCAAGAAATGTACTAATTTTCATTTTGTTGGTAATGTTCATATTTTTTAACGTCATATTGTAAATTAGATGAGTGCCTCCTTAGAGGTTCTTTGAATGAGGGAGTCACCCTCAGTCATATCTCTCATCCACTTAACCACTTTTGCTCAATATCTGTATCATTACATCCTTGGATGATATATATATATATATATATATATATATATATATATATATATATATATATATATATATATATATGCAGAGATCAGAAATTGTTTATTGTAAATTAGCTTTTCAAAGAATCTGAATTTTATATTTTGAAGTCTACAATTAGTTTTACTTTAAACGAACAAATTGTGTACAAAATGATCTATTTTAAAGAAAAATAATATACTTCTGTTTTTTCAACTGTGTACATTAACCTTTCAGCCTTAATCATTCATGTATTAATCTATTTCATTTTGAATAAACTAAACATTTTAGGATACGTTTCTATACTACTATTATTATAAATAAGTAAGCAAAAAATAGTGCACTTAATTTTTCTTTCTCTTTAGAGCACTATTTTTTATTAATAAACGAACAAAGATCTTTAATAATCTCTAACTCTTTATTTCTTCTGAAACTAAATTTTCTTTATACAGTTTTATCTTATCTCTACAATTAATTCTACAATCTATATAGTGATAACAGATCTGTTACCTTTGTATTTATTATTTTATGAAACATTATAATTGTTATATGACACATACGCTTATTATGTTTTGTGTTTTTTTGTTTTTAAACCATATAGAAACTATAAAATGTTATCGATGAAAGTATTTATTAACTCAATTCAGCTGTAATTTTAATTGTCTTTTTTTCGTTTATATAAAACTACAACCACATTTTTGTTTTGTCTTTTCGTACTCTTGTTTCATCAATATTTTTCAATGTTGTATTTTTAACATTTAAACAAGCAATAAGTTATAATCCTTCATTAATGAAATATTGTGTATTCCATTTATAATGATATCTTTTTATGTTATATATTGTACTTATGAAAATAGAAAGAAGCTGAATCTTTTCCAATGTACTGCTTATATGGGATTCTTTTCTCAAATTCATTTAAATTATCCTATTATGTTCATGTTTTTTTTTTTGTTTTTTTATTGCTTATTGGAATAAATGCATTCCTTAATTGTCAAATAAGACATTGTAAGTGTTTTATTTTGTCTATTGGTTTTTTTCCCTTTTTTCTTTTTTTTCTTTTTTCGTTGTTTGTTTTAAAATATGCACTCAGAAACAGAAATCTGTATGTTATTTCTTCTTCTTTTTTTTTTGTATTGAAATTTTAAAAAATAATTGATGTTTTTTTATATGATGATGATAGTACTGTGAAATTTTACTGCCTCTATTCTTATCAATCAATGATACCTTCGATGTTGATGTCTTCATTACTATCTATTCTATCTATCTTCTACTTTATTGTTGTCAATAACGTTGGGTTGTTTTGTTTGTTTGTTTTTATATCTACATGCCTTTTAATTATCTTTTTGTGTGTTTGTTCTAATTTTGTTATTTTTTCAAATATTGTAAGCTTCTTTTATATAATTTGCAACTGAATACTCATATATATATATATATATATATATATATATATATATGAATGTTACTTCAGTTGTATGTAATTATTATCTACATGAAATTAGAATATATTAATAAGAAAATAGTACGTGGTATTGAAGTTTAAATGTCTTTATTAAATTCGTTGTATACAAATTCAATGAAGTTGTATTGTGACTGATTCTATGTCGAACCGATATAGTTTATTCTAGCTTCTGAATAAACCAACTTGTCCAAGCTACATTTTGACCTTGTTAATTATACGGTTAGCAATTTTGACTGGTTTTATGTAAGCGTATATGTGTATATTTCATTATCTTACTCATCACATGTCTGTAGCTTATTTTTGTCTGACTACAGATATTGGTTAATGCTTGATCAAATCGAGTTTATTCACACAGCTTCTTCACTGAGCGTTCTTTAGATTTGTACTTTTCTATTCTCTTCTCCAATTGTTTGCCTGGATCAACGATTATATGAAATACACCTATTTGAAATTGATTCTCGTATTTGAGTTATTTAATTCCGTTATTTAAGTGGATAATTATATACAAGGACTGATGATATGTATATTTCGATAACAAGCAGCATAAGATCAAATTGGAGTTAGATTTAAGATCAATAAAATGTTCAGTCACTTTCAATAGTTGTGTGAATTTACATACCAGATTGTAGACGTTCTTTCAATCAAAGCATGATAACCAATGAGATCAGCTTCGTAAGGAGTAATGCCTTAACGCACTAATTGTATTCTATCAAAAATGAACATAATCAGTAATTAAGCACACTTACTGATACAGATCAATGTATTCTGACCCAATGATATCGTGTACAATATAACGTGTTAAGATTTTCTGACTTATCTCATATGTGGTAGGCAATATACATTTCTATAAATAGTCCAAAACATGCAACAAACTACTGTTTTGTGCTAGTAACAATTCTCTATGAAAATGGTCGCTACAGGTTTCTTAACTGATATATCATTACCAGAAGGGGATTTTGTGTATATTATAGTAATTTTAATAGTTAAAATCATGAGTCAATTGAAGCTAGACCACCATGGAAAACTTGGAAGCACTGGACGGCCATTTCGTCCTAGTATGGGACGGGATAGTGGATTCACACTTCTGAGGAGTCCTTCAATAGGACGAAACGGTCACCCAGTGCTTCCAAGGTTTCCATGGTGGTCTAGCTTCAATTGACTCATGATTTTAACTACTAAAATTGATATATTATTATGTAAAAGTGAGTAAAATCTGATAAATTACTTACATATTCAAATGGACAGAAAAGATAGTAAGTTCTCAAAACAAGGTATCTAATCAATTGGAAAACTTTAATAACTGACGAAAGTATAGTTATCTAATAGTAAGTGTGCAAGACAGAAGTCTTTTAGCATTAAAATGTGGGATATCCAATACGAAACTCATGTCATATCAAGGATTTTTAAACAGTTTATTGTGGTCATAGTAATCACAAACTATAAACACATTCTCTTTGAACAAATTGTTTGTTGTTTGGATAAGTAGACGACTGAGCTTTCTATAATTCATACTTGTCATGTTAATTTCTACACGTTTGTGTAGTGTACTCTGAGTTATCATATTTTCTCATTGGACACTCAACATATATTTTTACCTACTCCGTTACTATGGTGTATATACTGTGATCATACAGGCTTCATGAAACTAAGGCCATTCACCAGGTGACATGATATTCATCAACATTTATTAAACATTAATAAACTATGTTCAAATGAACAAAATAATGACTTTTCAGCAATGAAAATTAGGTCGAAATTCCTAACGTCTACCTTCAACCACTACCTTACATCTGCGCACAGTTCATACGATCCCGAGTCACATAGATTAGTGATAGTCACATAGCAACTTGGTTGATAAACTTCGATCAACATTAGAAAGAACGGGACATACATGACATTGGCCAGTGATCAATCAACTGTAAGGTTTATTTTTCGTATAATCGTCAATTAGATAATATTTCAAATCAAATATCTGTATGTCACCTCATCTTTATTGACTTTTGTCAACTACATAAATTCTGTGAACTAGTGAACTACACGTAATCTCATCGGCCACATTCATCTGGTTGCGATTTTCGAGATGTTTTTCTGTATGCTTGACAAAATAAAGTAATTTTCAACAGTGTGCACTCCCGATCCCATCTATAGATTTTGTTTGCGTGTGAGAATGAAGGTATTGAGTACAATTCCCGCTTGAGAGACCGTGAATGAGCACTTTTGATGACTTCCACCTTGAAAAAACCATCCTTTCAGTGCTCCCATGTTTTTATTGGTTATGTAACTATGATTAGTTTTCGGTTTCTATGAAATTCAACAATCCCTACAATCCCATACTGACAAGACTTAATAATTCCTTCAAAATCTCCAGTTTCAACAAAACTCCCTTATTTGATTTACTTTATATGAAACTTGCAGTTAATTTTATTCTAGAGTAGACATCAGATAAAGAATTATGAAAAATACTGGATAACTTTTTCCGTTTTGATTTAAAACTCTTCATAAGTGCACATTTACTACTCAATACATGATAGAACACAGAGTCTTCCGATATCACACAGTGCTCCAACCGAGGATAAAAGTACTGGGCATTACGGTTAAGTTATCAATGGTTCTCCATGTGATGTCGGTTAATGATAGAAATTCAATTCTCCTAAAATGATCCAAGTGAAAAATGCACCATGATCGTTTTCTGTGTTGTTCTCTTCTGTTTTCGAAATTGGTCGTAAGAAAATATATGACCCACTAGGAAATAATTTAAGTGACGTTTACTAGCTTTGATGTAATTTTCATAATTGAAATCATGAGTCTATCTAAGCTAGATCACCATTAAAAACCTGTAAACACTGAACGACCGTTTCATTCTATTATGGTACTCCTCGACGACGCACACCCATAATTCTGCACACGGGACTCGAATCCAAGACCGGTTTTTCACGCGAACGTTTAACCTTTAGACCACTGAGTCGGGAGCTAAAGGTGTCAATGTCTAACTTGGATCGACTTGTGATTTCTACTGTGAAAATACTACAATCTCCACAAATCCCTCATGTTGATTTATTGTAATTCACAATACAGGAGTCTACAAGGGAGGAATTCAGCTACATGTCTATTTCAATAAAATTATACTTTGATATTAAAATATATCACTAGAAAGCTACTAACACATTTGACAACGATGGATGTATGGGAAGAGCAATAAACACACCACATGCTGCTACAAGTGTTTGAAATCTGTAGTATACTACTCATTCAGTTTTATGACCATAATGTTGTTAAATTTATCAACAAATCAAATTATAGTCCAATTAAACACATTTTCCGTATAGTTTCACATATCGATACTGATAATATGATTGTAACTTGGATGGCTTTTCGGTAATCCGTAAAGTATCTATAAAGTATATCTTCATACAACTTCAAGAAAATATACCTAAATTTTATTGGGGTTTGAACTTTGTACAAGAAAGGGGGACTAATAAATTCAGCTGTGCTATCTGGGATATTTAATAGGCGAAATGTCAAGTGATTATTTATATCAAACTGATTTATTTATGACTTTTTAAATAC